GACGTCGGACAGGGCAAGATATGACAAAATAACAATTTATAAACTATCAAGGGCACATGAGGGAGGGAGGAACAGGGAAGGAGGGGGGAAATGAGGACCTAATGCCGGGGGTTTAAGTGGAGAGGAAATGTTTTGAGAATGATGAGGGCAATGAGTGTACAAATGTGCTTTACACAATTGATGTGTGTATGGATTGTGATGAGTTGTATGAGCCCCTAATAAAATGATTAAAAGAAAAAAAAAATTTATCCCAACAAAATAATTCACACAAAAAAAAGTTAAAAAAAAGATATAGTGTCTGGGGTCTTAAAGGCTTGAAGATAAACAGGCAGTTATCTAGCTGAGAAGCAACAAAGCCCACATGGAAGAAGCACACCAGCCTGTGTGATCAAGAGGTGTCAATAAAATCAGGTATCAGGCATCAAAGACCCAGAACAAAAAATCATATCATTGTGAATGAGGGGGAGTGTGAAGTGGAGACCCAAAGCCCATCTGTAGGCAACTGCACATCCCTCTTACAGAAGAGTCCTAGGGAGGAGACAAGCCAGTCAGGGTGCAGTATAGCATCCATGAAACATACACCTTTCCTCTAGTTCTTTAATGCTTCCTCCACCCGCCTTTGCCAGGACCCCAATTCTACCTTACAAATCTAGCTAGACCAGAGCATGTACACAGGTACAGATAAGAGCTGGAAACACAGGGAATCCAGGACAGATAAACCCCTCAGGACCAATCTTGAGAGTAGCCATACCAGGAGGGGAAGGGAAGGGTAGGGGAAAGAGGGGGAACCAATCACCATGATCTACCTATAACCCCCTCCCAGGGGGATGGACAACAGAAAAGTGGGTGAAGGGAGACATTGGTCAGTGTAAGACATGAAAAAATAATTTATAAATTATCAAGTGTTCATGAGGGAGGGTGGGGAAGGAAGGGAAAAAAGATGAGGAGTTGATACCAAGGGCTCAAATAGAAAGAAAATGTTTTGAAAATGATGATGTCAACAAACGTACAAATGTGCTTGACACAATGTATGGATGTATGGATTGGGGATAAGAGTTGCATGAGGCCCCAGTAAAATAATTTTTTAAAAAATAGATAAACAAACCCACAGTTGTGTGTGCCAGTTTGCTCTCGGCCCAACACACATGAGCCTCTGTGAGTAGAGTGCAAACAGGCAAGTTATAGAAGAGCCATGCCTGTGCCGGCTGGTGGCAGGGTTGCCCCTGCCTTTCTCAGCTGCTAGCAGGTTCAGGTCAGGGCAGAGCAGGACAGGACCTCGTGGGCTGGGTTCACATTTCCTTTCAATCCTTCTTCAAGGGCATGTGGCTGGGGCTCTCCTTCGGTGGGGAGGAGTCCCTTGCTAGTTCCTGTCTTGGCCTGCCCCATCAGAGACCCAGAAACGGGCTTTCGGGGTGCATCTGGGTGGAGGTGAAGAGAAGGCAGCATGAAAGGGATGCTCTCCATCAGGGCTCTTGCTCTAGGAGGTGAGGATGCTGTCTTGAGTCATGGGCTGGCCGTGGGGCCAGTGGTGATGGTTCCCTGATTCACCACGGGGCCTCCCAGCCCGTGAGGGCCTGGTGGGGTGGGGTGCACCCTTCTGAGCCAAGAGCTGTGAGAAGCCGGGCTCTCCTGTGAATGAGTCCCACAGCATGTGAACAGCAGCAAGAGTGCCTCTGAGGGTGCACGAGGGCGCAATTTCACTTTACGCCCATCAAGTTCAAGTTCAGTTGTTGCCAAGCCCAGGCTGACTCACGGTGACTTCACGTGTGTCAAAGGAGAGCAGTGTTCCACAGGGTTTTCAATGGCCGATTTTTCACGGCTTGTTACTTTGTTGCACTGTGGCGGCTTAGATGTTGCTGTGATGCTGGAAGCCATGTGAGCCGGATTTCAAACCCCAGCAGGGTCACTCAAAGGGATGGGCTGTGGAAGAGTTTTCAGACTAAGAACAGACCACGAAGGAAGGGGTTATCCACCTCTGAAGGATTAGCCACTGGAAACCTTATAAGTATCAGCAGCTGAACATGTCTCATAGGATGGAGGAGGAGGAGTCTCGAAGGTTGGAAAGACACAGTGATGTCCACCATGTTGCATAACATAACCATTGCCACCAGGCAGCATTTCCTTCCTTTCGCTGAACATTGGGGTGCTGTGAGTTGGAACCAACTTGACGGCACCGACCAGCAGCAACATTGTCCTGGAGGAGATTCCCCAGGCCTTTCTTCCAGAAACCTGTGTGTGGACTTGAACCTCTACTGGTATTCACAGCATGCCTTCACCATGTGCACCACCCAGGTTACTAGACCCCATCAAGTGGGCCCGAGCTGCCTCTGACAGTCATTCTGGGCTCCTGCTTACAAAACAGAAACAAAACTCCCTGGATTCAGACTCACTGTGGCCCAATTGGACATGGTAGAATTCTCCCTGTGGGTCTCAGAGGAGACATCAGACAGTGTAAGACATGACAAAATAATAATAATAATAATAATAATAATTTATGCGTTATCAAGTGTTCGTGAGGGGGGGC